CTGCCATGTGCGTCTTTGTCGTCTGCTCACGCTGCTGGGTTCCAGTTTTAAACCTAGGCCTGTGTATGGCTTCCGAATACTGCTGCCTCCACCGCCACCCTGCGCCATGTGCCTCTGTCGTCTGCTCACGCTGCTGACGGCTTCCGCTTTTTAACCTAGGCCTGTGTATGGCTTCCGAATACTGCTGCCTCCACCGCCACCCTGCGCCATGTGCCTCTGTCGTCTGCTCACGCTGCTGACGGCTTCCGCTTTTTAAACTAGTCCTGTGTATGTCTTCCGAATACTGCTGCCTCCACCGCCACCCTGCGCCATGTGCCACTTTCAGGGCTCCTTACACTGTTGGTGGGTTCCATTTTGTGATAGGGTGCTGTATGGCCTTCCATTGCTGCTGCCTCCACCGCCACCCTGCGCCATGTGCCTCTGTCGTCTGCTCACGCTGCTGACGGCTTCCGCTTTTTAACCGAGGCCTGTGTTTGGCTTCCGAATACTGCTGCCTCCACCGCCACCCTGCGCCATGTGTCTCTGTCGTCTGCTCACGCTGCTGACGGCTTCCGCTTTTTAACCTAGGCCTGTGTATGGCTTCCGAATACTGCTGCCTCCACCGCCACCCTGCGCCATGTGCCTCTGTCGTCTGCTCACGCTGCTGACGGCTTCCGCTTTTTAAACTAGTCCTGTGTATGTCTTCCGAAATACTGCTGCCTCCACCGCCACCCTGCACCATGTGCCACTTTGAGGTCTCCTTACACTGTTGGTGGGTTCCATTTTGTGATAGGGTGCTGTATGGCCTTCCATTGCTGCTGTCTCCACCGCCACCCTGCGCCATGTGCCTCTGTCGTCTGCTCACGCTGCTGACGGCTTCCGCTTTTTAACCGAGGCCTGTGCTTGGCTTCCGAATACTGCTGCATCCACCGCCACCCTGCGCCATGTGTCTCTGTCGTCTGCTCACGCTGCTGACGGCTTCCGCTTTTTAACCTAGGCCTGTGTATGGCTTCCGAATACTGCTGCCTCCACCGCCCCTGCGCCATGTGCCTCTGTCGTCTGCTCACGCTGCTGACGGCTTCCGCTTTTTAAACTAGTCCTGTGTATGTCTTCGGAATACTGCTGCCTCCACCGCCACCCTGCGCCATGTGCCACTTTCAGGGCTCCTTACACTGTTGGTGGGTTCCATTTTGTGATAGGGTGCCGTATGGCCTTCCATTGCTGCTGCCTCCACCGCCACCCTGCGCCATGTGCCTCTGTCGTCTGCTCACGCTGCTGACGGCTTCCGCTTTTTAACCGAGGCCTGTGTTTGGCTTCCGAATACTGCTGCATCCACCGCCACCCTGCGCCATGTGTCTCTGTCGTCTGCTCACGCTGCTGACGGCTTCCGCTTTTTAACCTAGGCCTGTGTATGGCCTTCAATTGAAGCTGCTTCTGCTCCGCCACTCTGCCATTGGACTCTTGATAGTCGTCTCCCCACGCTGCTGCTGGGGGGACTTTTTAACATAGGTCTCTGTATGGCCTTCAATTTTAGCTGCTTACGCTCCGCCACTCTGCCATGGGCCCCTGTACCGCCTCCTCATGCTGCTGCCAGGCCCGTAATCTGCCATGGGCCCCCGTACCGACTCCTCATGCTGCTGCCAGGCCCGTAATCTGTCATGGGCCCCTGTACCACCTCCTCATGCTGCTGCCAGGTCCAGAGTGTGTCATGGGTCCCTGTACGGCCTCCCATTGCTGCTGTCTCCATCGCCACACTCTGCCATGTGCCACTTTCAGGTCTCCTCACACTGCTGGTGGGTTCCATTTTGTCATAGGGTGCTGTATGGCCTCCCATTGCTGCTGCCTCCACCTCCACACTGTGGCTCCACACTCTGGTTTTGGCCCCGTGACTGCCCAAATGAGTGAAGTGTGCGGTGATTCTAAGATCGACGGCACTCATCTGCATGTCATACTGACTGACAGTATTATTTCTCTTCCCCAGCAGACTCCAAGGGCATTTAAATTAAAGGTACAGTGTTCTGCACTAATATAAAGGCTCTCTGAAGCCTAGAAACACCCTTTTTATAAGTTAAATTCGCAGCGAATATATTCGGCACAAAGCGAATTTAATCAGCGAATTCGGCGAATCAGCCGAACCGAATTTTTGAATAATTCGCTCATCTCTAAAAATGATAAACGGGTTTCAAAATGTTTTACAAATTTAAAACTGAAAAGTGTGGCGTGCATTTGTATTTAGCCCCCTTTACTCTGATACCCCTAACTAAAATCTAGTGGAACCAATTGCCTTCAGAAGTCACCTAATTAGTAAATAGAGTTCTACTGTGTGTAATTTAATCTCAGTAAAAATACAGATGTTCTGAAAAGCCCACAGAGGTTTGTCAGGGAACATTAAAGAACAAACAGTATAGTGAAGGACAAGGAACCCACCTGACAGGTCAGGGATAAAGTTGTGGATAAGTTTAAAGCAGGGTCAGGTTATAAAAAAAATCCCAAGCATTGAACATCTCATAGAGCACTGTTCAATCCATAATCTGAAAATGGAAAGAGTATGGCACAACTGCAAACCTACCAAGACATGGCCGTCCACCTAAACTGACAAGCTAGGCAAGGAGAGCATTAATCAGAGAAGCATCCAAGAGAAATGAACCAGCAAACACAAATGCTCCTGCGCTTGGGGATGGACTCGATGCAGGCTACAACCACATTAAGAATGTCCTGGAACATGCACACCTTGCTGCCCTCAAATGGACCGGGGGAATCCAAATATACTGAATGAGGAAAGAACAAAGAGAGGGCACACAGGCCTAGTGCATTACCATAAAAAATGTTTAATATGAAATAAAATAGGTGTTGTACTCACAAACAAGAATAAAGTCAAGGCACATCATAAAAGAACAGCTGGGTCAACAGTCCGCAATGGGGAGTGTAGACATCCAATAGGCTGACACGTTTCGAGGACTTGCCTCTTCCTCTTGGCTCTGAGGAAGAGGCAAGTCCTCAAAACGCGTCAGCCTATTGTATGTCTACACTCCCCATTGCGGACTGTTAGTCAGCGCGGTGTTGACCCAGCTGTTCTTTTATGATGTGCCTTGACTTTATTCTCGTTTGTGAGTACAACACCTATTTTATTTCTTATTAAACATTTTTTATGGTAATGCACTAGGCCTGTGCGCCCTCTGTTTGTTCTTTCCTCATTAAGCATCCAAGAGGCCCATGGTAACACTAGAGGGGCAATAGGAAGAAGGGTCAGCTGCACACCGGAGGATAGATGAATATAGTGTGTATTTATATATCCATAGGACACACAAAACACCAGGACATGAATACAGGATCTGTTGACGCGTTTCACATGATCTCATGCTTAATCATAAGGTTATGATTAACCACGAGATCGTGTGAAACGTGTCAACAGGTCCTGTATTCATGTCCTGGTGTTTTGTGTGTCCTATATAGATCAATAAATACACACTATATTCATCTATCCTCCGGTGTGCGGCTGACCCTTCTTCCTATTGCATAGCTTGTGGTAGCGAGTCAGAGCCTGCACCTGTTATGGATTGATTTGGATTGTTTGCCTGAGCGGTATACCTTTGTTCTTTGGATTTAACTCTAGAGGGGCTGCAGAGATCCACAGCTCAGGTGGGAAAATCTGTCCACAGAACAACTATTAGTCATGCACTCCACAAATATGGCCTTTATGGAAGAGTGGCAAGAAGATAGCCATTGTTGAAAGAAAGCCATAAGAAGTCCCATTTGCAGTTTGTGAGAAGCCATGTGGGGGACACAGCAAACATGTGGAAGAAGGGGCTCTGTCAGATGAGACCAAAATTGAACTTTCTGGCATAAAACCAAAACTCTATCCGTGGCAGAAAACTAACACTGCACAGCACCCTGAACACACCATCCCCACTGTGAACCATGGTGTTGGCAGCACCATGTTGTGGGGATGCTTTTTTCATTAGGGACAGTGAAGCTGGTCAGAGTTGATTGATGGAGCCAAATACAGGGCAATCTTAGAAGAAAACCTGTTAGTCTACAAAAGGCGGAGGTTCACCTTCCAGTAGGACAACGACGCTAAACATACAGCCAGAGCTACAATGGAATGGTTTAGATCAAAGCATATGAATGTGTTAGAATGGTGCAGTCAAGGTCCCGACCTAAATCCATCTGAGAATCTGTGGCAAGACTTGAAAATTGCTGGTCACAGACGCTCTCCATCCAATATGACAGAGCTTGAGCTATGTTGCAAAGAAGAATGGGCAAAAAAATAACTCTCTAGATATGCAAAGCTGGTAGATACATTCCCAAAAAAGACAGTTGCAATTGCAGCAAAAAGTGATTCTAAAAACTATTGACTCGGGGGCTGAATACAAATGCACACCACACTTTTCAGATTTTTATTTGTAAAAATTTTGAAAACCATTTATCATTTTCCTTCCACTTCAGAATGTGTGCCACTTTGTGTTGGTCTATCACATAAAATCCCAATAAAATACATTTATGTTTTTGGTTGTAACATGACAAAATGTGGAAAATTTCAATGGGTATGAATACTTTTTCAAGGCACTGTATATACACTATGGCCCCTTTCACATGGGTGTTCCGTTTTTTCATCAGTTCAGTCACATTTTTTCCAAGCAAAAACGGATCAGTTTACATCCGGTTTTCATCTGTTTACATCCATTTTTCATCTGTTTACATCCATTTTTCATTAGTTTACATCCGTTTACATCAGTTTTGTCAGGTCCATTTTTTTTTACGGAAGAAAAATAGGGCTTTCTTCCATTCAAAAAAAATGGATCTTAACAGATACGGACATTAAGGGATGTAAACAGATAATCATCCATAGAAATACATGGGTGTCCGCTTTTCATCCATAAATGGAAAGATAAAAAACGGACATTAGGAACGCCCGTGTTAAAGAGGCCTAAATTGCCAAAAGTACTGGGACACCCCCTCCAAATCATTGGATTCAAGTGTTCCAATCACCTCCATGGCCACAGGTGTATAAAATCAGGCACCCAAGCATGCAGACTGCTTCTACAAACATTTGTGAAAGAATAGGTTGTTCTCAGGACCTCAGTGAATTCAAAGATGGTACCGTGATAGGTTGCCACCTGTGCAATAAGTCCATCCGTGAAATTTCCTTGCTACTAAATATTCCATGGTCAACTGTTAGTGGTAACTGGGAAGAACAGCAATGCAGCCACGAAGTGGTAGGCCACAACAGAGCGGAGTCAGTGCATGTTGAAGCAAACAATGCGCAGAAATCGCCAACTGTCTGCAGAGTCAATAGCTAAAGACCTCCAAACTTTGTGTGGCCTTCAGACTAGCACAACAGCAGTGCATAGAGAGCTTCATGGAATGGGTTTCCATGGCCGAGCAGCTGCATACAAGCCTTACATCACCAAGTGCAATGCAAAAGCGTCGATGCAGTGGTGTAAAGCACGCCACCCACTGGACTCTAGAGAAGTGGAGACATGTTCTCTGGAGCGACAAATCAATCTTCTCTGTCTGGCAATCTGATGGATGTGTCTGGATTTGGCAGTTGCCAGGAGAACGGTACTTGCCTGTCTGCATTGTGCCAAGTGTAAAGTTTGGTGGAGGCAGGATCATGGTGTGGGGTTGTTTTTCAGAGGTTGGACTTGGCCCCTTATTTCCAGTGCAGGGAACTCTTAAGGCATCAGCATACCAAACATTTTGGACATTTTCATGCTCCCAACTTTGTGGGAACAGTTTGGGGATGGAACTTTTCTGTTCCAACATGACTGTGCACCAGTTCACAAAGCAAGTTTCGTACAGACATATAGCTGAAAAGGATGGGCCAACTCAATATTGAACCCTACAGACTAAGACTGGGATGTCATTAAAGAGTGTGTAAAGGCAGGCGTCCCAATACTTTTGGCAATATAGTGTGTGTACTATATATTGTGAGGGATTAGCCCAGCAGCAGGTTGTGCTTGACCCCCTGGATGGGTCAGAACACCATGAAAGAGGCTCAGCACGACAGCAGGTACTTGGTGAAAAGTTGTGCTTTATTTACAAAGTCCGGTGAACACGGTGCATATGGTCAAAACAGCAAAAAAATACAAACAGAAAATAAAACTTTGCTACACTGGGCGTCTAACTGCAAACACAGGTTTCCTATCTAGCTGTCTGAATACAGCCTACCGCTGCTCAGACATGGGATATTCACACAGTCTAAGATCACACAGATTCTCTCTCCCCACAGGATGGTTTGGTTGCTCCCCAGTCTGTCCTGCAAATGAAACTGGTTCCAGGTTGGAGCATTCTCCCTATGCAGCCTGGGAGTTTTTATAGAGCCCAGAGCCCTTAACTCATTACATCTGAGCTAATTACATCATCAGTGAGCCACACAGGCTCACTATACAGCACAACACGAGAAACAGTCTGTGTAGAGCATGAACCTGGGACAAACATATCTCCCATCCTGAACACATCCCCTAGTTCTTCCTGAACACCTGTCACAATATCTATCTATCTATCTATCTATCTATCTATCTATCTATCTATCTATCTATCTATCTATCTGTCTGTCTGTCTGTCTGTCTGTCTGTCTGTCTGTCTCTATAGATATATATATTTAGATATATTCTGTGTGTGTGTGTATATATATATATATATATATATATATATATATAAAATTTAAATTGGGTAAAGTGTTGCATGACCACGCAATTTAAAGCAGCGCACTGTCAAATAGCAAAAAATGACGTAGTCATAAAGGGGGTAAAACCTTCTGGAGCACAAGTAAGTAAAGTTTCTGAAAACCATTTCCAAAAATGAGTAATCCTTATTTAAACCTTAACGAGCCATCTTTGTCATTATTATCTGAGAAACAACATTATTTATACTTTCTAAAAAAGTATAACCTTTTCTATTTTGATGAGCGATTAGATGAAGCTTCCAAATAGCTGCAGCATTTTCCTGTACTGAAATGGTTAACAGAACGTTTGTCTGTAAGTCTTGCCAGAAATGAGCTCGCTAAGTATCTCATTAGGGATTCCACATGCTGGATGTAAAATAAAGAGGGGAACTCTCAGTTGTGCTTCATGAATGGCTCACATGCAGTATTCATGATTCTACCTCCGTCTCCTGAGGACCGGGGATGCTGTATGATGTAACTGGCCTCCCTGCAACTCCCATTCACATCTATTAGGCATCCAGCCAGGACTCCTCCTTCTATTTAGATTAGGTCATCCTGTCCCTATTTTTCTATGGATACTACATAGCCTGCACTGTGGCAGCACCAGGGTCATACCTCTTCTAAGCCGAAAACCCATGGATGGCACAACTCCTTCCTGTCTCAGCTCCTTACATCATAAGCCATGACTTGTCTCCCTCCCTTATTATCCTGGAAACAGCATCAGCAGCAGCATCAAGGGCTCTGTGAACAGTCAATATTCCCACGAGCAGAGATAAACACAGGATACAAATCCCAGATTTTAAAGCCATCCTTGCCTTATGCATGAAACCGTCTCCCTGCAATCTGTGCAGTGCTAGCCGCCAGACTGAGAAGGATAGACAGAGGTCTCTATCTTGCACAACTGAGTGGATTGGATGATGCAGAGAAGAACAGCATGTTTTTAAACGCCGAGCTAACCTTAAGCACTGTAAAGGTCACTGGCATGCAGATGGCAAATGCACTGCAGCAGATTCTTTAGTACACTGCTTTATTTCTCTAATGATGTCCCCTTGGGTTTTGGATTGTAGAACATAGAACTTGGGGTTCTCACCAGACCCTGGTGGTCACTTCTAGCTATATCCATGAGCTGTGGTGTCAGAAAGAAACCTATTTTTACCTTAACTTTGACTGAAAAGAGCCCCCGAGCGGTTTGTTTGGAGGACCTAGAATGAAAACCTCTCTTCCTTCTGTAAGCAATTGCAGTATTGACCAGAGGGATCTTACACACCTTGGAGAGTCATAAGCAAAGGACAGGATTCGCAATGGCCAATGAACCAGTTATACTCAATGTTTATGATATGGTAAGATAGTTCTGCTTGCTTATTATTTGATCTTTAAGGGTTGAATAGACAACCTATGTGGGGTGGTTGGAGTTGCTCGTGTAACGCTGCAGCTGGTTCTTAGAGAGCTAGCCTTTGCATACTGTCTCAGAAGCCTCAATCCTCAACTAGGCTAATTAGATATGTGTGCCTTAATAGTATTTACTAGAGCTTTCCAGGTAATAATAAGTAATCTATTTTGTATATCAGAACAAATGTTGATTTCAGCATCTCCTTTATGTTATCCAATTCCATTAAATATTTGCAGTCTTTCAAAATGAGACAACATGGGAAATGTAAAGCCCAGTCTGTGGCCATATCTGTTACTTGGGAATATTTCCACTGATTCCACTGGTCTGCAGAAATTGAGAAATGAATTCTTTTTATTTTTATTGATGTATCGGTTTAAAGACCTAGCATGTCCATAAATCATTGTCGCATGGAAAAAATCAAAAGACAAGTACCAGCTGCTTAATTAGCCAAAATGTGCCATGTGAGTTGCTACAACAACCACTACTATTGTAGCAATCACGCCTAGGCAGAGAGTTTGAAGGCAAGTATAAGTAAGTCCTATAGCTTTAGATAGTAAATGGCCATGTTTGGGTAGCAGACCAGAACTTCATTGGATGGAGCTCACATACATGGATGGAGCCCAAGCATAAGTAAATAGCCAGTGGGTACTTTGCCATGCAAATTGTGTCTCTTTACTAAATTTTTGCAGTTGGGTGGACTTAGTTTATGCCTGCCACGCAGAGACAAATTTGGTTTCAGACTGATCAAAACCAGTAAAATTTATCAAAAATTGTGTAATGTGAAGACCTGCCTAAACAGTCTATTCAGATGATACCCAGCTTGGTGGACCTTCACATTAGACAGTTGACAAATGTTGTTGATTGGACACACCGATCTGAAACAACATCTTTGGGTGACCAGCAATACTTATAGAGAAAAATTGCTTTTCACTTCTTGGTTTTCAGTAATATGATTAGTTGAAAAGCAAGTAAAAAGTCATTCATCACAGATGCTGACAATATTCTTCACTCCTCACGCTTCACCAGGTCTAGTATCAGCAAAGTTCCCTGCTTGTTGTATAAAACCCGCTTTGTTCTTTTTTTTTTTTTTTTTATATATATATGTTTCTAGCTTACACAGTAATATGTCTACACTGGAGTTAATTTCAGCCAACCTGTATGATTTCACTAAGAACAGATAAAAGCATGCGCATTCACAGTCCCCTCCCCTACCTATTTACTACTATACAGCCAGAATGTCTGATTTGCTCTCTTGCAGCATTGCAGTTCTATGCAAAACCGTTCTTAATTGTGGTAGACATAGACAACCTAAATAAGTGTGTTTGAGACACAGAAAGCAGAAAATGTGCTTATGTTTCATAACTGAGGTGTGGAAAAAAAGAACTGAAACGTAAGACAATTTAGTAGAAAGATTCAAATGGATGCAGAAGCAGCCAATGGCCTGTATGCTGTTGCAACACAATATTGATGTAATGGATAGCAAATTAAATTAATGGAAATAGCAATAGAATGGGCAGCCTACATTTTATGGTAATTTTAACTGGAGCTTTGCCAGCACTGCCTCGACTTTAGCCAGCATTTTTAACTCTACAACTATAATAATGCTAATAATATTGGGTTCATTTATATAGAACTCAAAAATTCTAATAATAATAAGCATAAGGGATTTGTTCATGAATGGCTAAATGTAATAATTTGCCCTTTATCAACAGCTACTTATTTGTTGCTTACCTTCTGGTATTTCCAATTATATTTATTCTCCACCACCCATATCTACTGATTTGCGTTCACAAATTGCAATCACCTTAATATGGTGAGTCTTATTATTTCCCATGTAAAATTGTGCATGGGAAGATAGGATTCACTTAGATTAGAGGAATTGCCGCACATTTGTTGAGGACTCACTTTTTTATTGCTTAGCATGTGGTAACTTATAAACACCTGAAATATTGTTGAATGTCAGGAGATTTGTAGCAGATCAGGAACACAGGTGACAGCTCCTGAATTGTGCACTGTCAGTAAAAAAGCACTGATGATTTAATAAAGTATAATATCATAATAAGTATAGTCATAAATTTCTGAAGCCACCTTGTCTTGCTGTGGTCAGGAGTGATGAAGTTATAAGATAGCAGGTGACAACTGCCATCACTAGTTGTCTATTACAATATGGCAGTCTACAACCAGAATTGTTAAATGTCAGTACCTTGAGTCAACATAACATATAGCAAGACATGTTCCATTGTTTCCTACAAGGCAGACAAGGGGCAGGGAAACCTGTCGTACATATGGAGGAATATACAATAGGGTGCATGGTTCTTTTTATGAACACCTTTTAAAAGTCTGATTGTCTAGCCATGGGCGTTTCCTGTTCAATTGTAGTAGGATGTGTGGTTCTCTACTTGGATTGGTTCTTTGGTATGTAGCACTGGTGCTTCTTGTGTCAGACCATAATTTCTGTTGTAGTAGTGGACAATAGGCGTTGCAGACCTTTCCTATATTACAAACGTAACTACAAACCTTTCTTCCCATAAGAATCA